CAAATTCCAGATTCTACTTCTAATGACTGGTCACATCCATTGTCCTTGGGTGTGAGTTGATCTCTGCTTCAGAGTAATCTAGGTAAATTAATGCTACCTGCTGTCCTCTGCCCATCTGGAGCCTCCCAGAGGCTTGCCCTCAGTGCTGCCTCATCAGATACCTTTCCTGTTCCAGGGTGACTGCAAAGGCTGGCCTTCCCTGGGCACATTTATCTTCAACCCCCAGTGAACAAGCAGAGCACAGAGTAGACTAACTCATTTATTTCTACTCATTTATTGATGGCCTTTCATAACCGAGTTATTAAGTCATCAATAACTTCAGAAAAATAAATGAATGGATCCAGAACTGGGCCAACAGATATTTAAGATACCCACTGAAAATTTTATCTATGATCAGCAGAAAAGTCAATGCTGGGTCATCAGTGGCATTTCCCTCACCTGGGAAAATATGGTCTATGTTTTATTCTAATTAGAACCCAGTCAATTTCTTTACAAACTAGTAAAATAAATAACATCTCCAATCTCTCAAGTAAAATAAAGTTGAAAAAAATTTACATTTGTTAACATTTTCCAAAGTGCTACCTAATATGTGCTGCTCTTATCAACTGTCAAAAAAATATCTCTGAAAGTCTTGCCAGAAATAGAGTATAAGATATTTCACTAGTGCTTGTGAGTTCTAGTATATTCCCCTCAGGAAATAAAATAAAAAGGATAGGGAAGGAGGAAAGAAAGCCAGAAAAGGTTTTTCTAAGACCTTGAAAAACCCTTGAAACCAGTATCTAGGAGTCTAGAGAAATTCCTAACAATGATGTTAAGTGTCTATAGGGACACTTTCAAAGCCTTCAGCACTTTACCCAGCTGATGGGAGCCATGTATTTTCATTATGTTTGGGGATGTAGGTAGCAGCTGTGTCTTAACTTACATGATCACCCCAGAATCCTGACCTCATCGCCCTATTCAAATATTCTTTTTTGTTTTTTAGTGTTTATTTATTTTTGAGAGACAGAGGGACAGAGTGCAAGCCGGAAGGGGCAGAGAGAGAGGGAGACACAGAATCTGAAGCAGGCTCTAGGCTCTGAGCTGTCAGCACGGAGCCTGATGCAGGACTCGAACCTACAAATTGTGAAATCATGACCTGAGCCAAAGTCAGATGCTTAACTGACTGAGCCACCCAGGTGCCCCCCCATTCAAATATTCTTTTGCCCTAGTTTACTCCCCACTTATAACTTGGGGCCTCACCTGGATGAGAGGAATCTTGGCTGTTGAGAGGTCCCAAGTGTGTTTGGAAGCCTCTCTGTGCCCCAGTTGCCTCAGTTTCCTCATCAGTAGAATAGGAATGATAATAGAACATACTTCAGCTGCTATAATAATTAAAAGAGTTAATCTATGAAGAGCACTTAGAATACTGTCTGGCACATGGTAAGTTTTCAAGAAGTATCAGCTGTGATTGTTGTTGTTGTCATTTATGTATAAATATAATATTTTCCATATGATTAGGACCTTGGAGACCAGCCAATCCAATTTCTTCAATTAGTTTTTCAGGCTAGGAAACTGCAGCCCAATAACTTATTTAATGTTTGTACTTTCTAAAGCTTAAAGACTAAGTGAGATACTGGCAAAAAGAACATCACCTTTGGAGTCCAGCAGTCCTACAATCAAATTCCAGATCTGTTGCTTGCGCTTGCTGTGTGACTTTGGGCTCATCTCTTCCCTTCTCTGGGCTTCTCTAGGTCCTCACCTGTACAATAGGTGTAAACACAACTACCTGATAGATAGAGTGTTTTGAAAGCTGAAAACTAATGACTAAAAAAAAAGTTAATGACTGAATAATGGGACTAGCATGCTGCCAAGGAATTAATGAGCATTCAGTGTCGTTGTTGCAAACGTCATTCAGTGGGACTGCTGCAGAGAGGGTGCTAGAGGCTGGGAGAGCTCACCACCACACAGACCACCTATACTTAAAAACGAACAGTCAAACCCAAACTGTGATTTGCTTACACTAATTTCTATCAGTTTTCTTCAATGACTATCTTGTCATCAGTAGATGTTAGAGCTAACAAAAATTTCCTGTGCCTGCCGATGGATAAGATTTTGTAAGTCCTTTATTGTTCTTAAAGAAAAGGAAAATGGAGAGATAGACAGACAGATAGACAACTCTCTACTGTTGGCCCCCAATTTTTCTAACTAGTTTGCTTTAGGGTGAGTAGTTTTACTCTGCCAGCTGAACTCCAAAAGCTGTGCCTGTTGGAGAAATGGTGACTCAGAAACAGTTTGCAGATGTTACAAAATAATAAAGAAAACACTATGTGCAGCTGTGATTTTGCAAATCTGACACCTTTGTTGAGATAGAAACGGCTATAGAAAGACTCAGGGGAAGGACAGAAATTAAATTGACATTGGTTTCCTTTTGAGGGGGATATGATGAATAAAGTCTAACTCTAGATAACAAGGCATGGAACTCAGGTTTATAAGAAAACAGATTTTTTAAACCTAATGTCCCTGAAAAGGTCATAGATGTCTCACCGTGGGGCTTGGGAATGATGAATGGGTTCTACAGTTCCAAGTTTGAGAAACACTTCCCTCTTGAAGATTTTACAATGCTCATTTATAAATGAAAGCCTCTGAGAAGTCCGTATATAAGAGACCTTTCCAACACTATCAGACCTGTCTTTTCCTAAACAATTAACATAAAATTTCCATCAGCACCATGTAGGACAGTGGCATTCTAGGGAACACCATTCAAGAATTTATACAAGGTTTGCTGCCAGATTGGGTTTTAATTTTATTGTGAGTCTCTGCTTCAACCATTTTAGACAAAAGATATGAACTAGAAATGGACCACGTTTTGCTTTCTTGTATTCCCATTTTATTTGTGGGGGTGGAACTATAGCATCTGCTGCTACACATGTTTCAGAGAGCAGAACACAGCTCTTTATCATTCACTATCAGTGGAAATGTCTGGGAATGGGGAAAAAGTAAATAAAATAAATGAAAGCAAATCTACTTGGGTTCATCTATGGGCTGGCTTTGGAACAGCCCGTGGGTTGCAATTGTCTTCCACACATCATCATTTCTTGAGAATGTTCACATCGTTACTGGACTGTGAACAAATGTTACAATTTGGGGATTAAAACTGTGGGTCCAAACAAAGCAATGGAACAAAGCAATAAAGTCCATGTCAAGATATATAAATGCTTTTATTGATGGAGAAAGTTACAACAGATTGAAGCCTAGAAATAAATCTCTTTTCTTAATATGCAAAATCGGATACACAAAAGCAGTAAAAATGCCACTGAATCTCCTTCCTACCACACTGCAATATTCATTATCATCTGTCTCTAAGGTTCACATTTTTTACCTTCTTTCCTTTTTCTCACACTTCATCCTCTAGTCTCACATAAACACCCATCAAATGCTTTTCTCTTCTTTTTTTCTTTTTTGTTGTTTAGTTTTTATTTCATAATCATAAACTTACCTCTGCAATTGAGCTAGACTTGGAGGAGAGTAAGGAAAGTATGGAACTCATGAACTTCAGTGAGAGCACAAAGGTTATAGGATATTTTGAGCAAATGGGGGTAAAGGGGGGCCCTCCTGAGCCTCAGAAGGAAGAGTCTGGTAATTAAGATAAAACACAAGTCAAATTTATTTGTCCATAGTCAGCAATGGTGATCTTGCTGGTCTTGCTGTTCCTGAACCCAAAGCAATCCAGACTTCCACAATATTCATGCCTTCTTTCACTTTGCCAAAGACCACATGCCGAACATCCAACCACTCAGTCTTGGCAGTGCAGATGAAAAACTGGGAACTGTTTGTGTTGGGTCCAGCATTTGCCATGGACAAAATGCCAGGACCCATGTGCTTCAGGATGAAATTCTCATCATCAAATTTCTCCCCATAGATGGACTTGCCATTATGGATTATGAAGTCAGGTCACCTGGCACATAAATCCTGAAAGAATCCTGTAGAAACAGGAACATTTATAACCAAATCCTTTCTCCCCAATTCCTTTCTCCCCAGAGCATGCAAGTTTTCTACTGTCTTTGGAACTTTGTCTGTAAACAACTAGAAGGAGATGCTAATGTCGACGGCAATGTCGAAGAACCTGGTGGGGTTGACCATGGCTGTCTGAAAGGCCAAATGCTTTCCCTTTTTAATTCCTTATCTTCTTCCCTCCCACTTTGACCATTTTGAAAAAAAAAAAATAGACAAGCACATTCGATTATTACAGCCTTTCTATAAGGAATATGTACTTCAAAACTCTTAAAATCAAAATAGAAAGATATCAAAAATTAACCATAGCATTTGGTAATGATCAAAAAGAAAATGAATGAAAACTAGCTTAACAATTATTAGATTGTTATCATCCCTTTAGACTTGACCTTTTGGTAAGTCATAAATAAATACCATCCAAATTTGACAGAAGTAAACTGGAAAAATCACACAACAGCAATCTGACAGAAATATCACTTTTATTGATGTCAAAAAAGTGGCATTTCTTAGATGTTTAATAAAGTAGGGATTACGAGGAAAAGTAAATGTTGAATTATGCCACAAGAGTCTCATCCACATGGCAAGATCTATGAGCTCATTTGCTTGGCAGCTGTTTCACCATTTAGATAAAAATGCCTACAGCCCAGGGGCCCCTGGGTGGCTCAGTTGGTTGAGTATCTGACTTCAGCTCAGGTCATGATCTCACATTCCTGTGTTTAAGCCCCGCATCAGAATCTGTGTTGACAGCTCAGATCGTGGAGCTTGCTTTCGATTCTGTGTCTCACTCTCTCTCTGCCCCTCCCCTGCTTGTGCTCTCTCAAAAAATAAAATTAAAAATATTTTTAAAAAATGCTCACAACCCAGAAAAAAATTTTAATGTGGTTAAATTTGTTTGACATGTATTTTTATAGTGAAAATATATGAATATATTCTATATTAATGTTGATCATATATGTCAATATTTTATATTGATTATTTATCCTATACCTTTTTCTATTGTCTTTCTCCAGGAAGCAAATAACTTGGATAAAAACACAACCAAAACAGAGAGTGCTTGGCTCTTCAGAATGTGGTACAGCTTTGACCACAAGTATCCTTTGATAATGATGATCTCCCAGATCCTGCTGCCTGCCAGACATTAACTTCAAGCACTTAGTCATTGAGATATATGTTCCTGCTCTTCAAGAAACACAGAAAGGTAAAGTGAATTCACGACCAAATTTATCTAAAAGTGAAAAGCTAAATTAGTCTATACTTAAGTGTTACAAAGAGCTGAAGTGAAATCTCTCAGAGTCAAACGAATTTAGTGTATTCGTGGCAACCTAATATTTCCCTAAATGCCAGATGATAAAATCGTATAGTCCTGAGGACTGATCTGTTGAACTAATTTTACTGTTCTTCCCTTTGCAAAGATCTTACTTCTTGTCAGTTGGCCAGAGTAACAACAAAAATCCTTCACCCTTCTCCCAGAAACCCATTTGTGTGCTCTTGTTTCATGAGGCAAAAACATGGGGTGGGGCAGGGGGCAAAGAGAAGGAGTGGTCTGAGAGGAAGAATGAGTCTGATCACCACATCATAAAATAATGGAAAAGTTTGTTTTCCAGGCAGATTTGAGTAAGCTTTTCTTCATGAAGGCCAATTTTAACATTCTACCAATCAGTGTAAGCATAGTGGCTCCAATACACCTTGCCTTGTGACTGACAGGGCTGAGAGGTGAGGCCTGAAGGGCTTTGCCATTGTGAATTGCAGTAAGTGGTCCATCTCTAATCCCAAGCAAAAGCACCATGGAAGAAAGGAAAGAACTGCACTGAAAATTGAATGTGTTGGGTCTTTGAAGTTAGTTTTCCACAGTCACAAATCCTTCTCCTTTCAGGGAGAAAATGTCAGTCACTGGGTGATTTTAAAGCGCCTAAGCAATGATTAAAACCACAACAGATCAGTGGGAGAGGAGGAAGAATTAAGAACAGCCAAAAGAAATTCAAAGAGTAAGGTGCAAAAGAGGTAAAATGGAAATGGGAGAGGAGGCAAGAGAAATACAGGAAATTCACAGCAGGGAGGGAAGGAAGGCAAACTGGAGGAATGGCTATGTAAGAAAAAATTATGTAAGAATGAAGAGAAGCCAATTGAAGATTGCAGATATAAGCAAAAGTAAAACAGGTGAGATTTTAAAAAGCAATTCTGCAAAAGTAGAACATTCCAAGAATTACAAAATGGACATGTGCAAAGTAGAGGTTTTTTGAGCCTACAGTTTTGTTTTCCCACAGCCCTTCTCTCTCGGGACAGATAACTTGCCTTGATCAATCTTGAGCCTTTATGGACAGTGTAGGTTTCCACCACTTTAAAAGCACTCGTCTTGGCCATTAACTTCCTCTTGGAGGTTCTGGAATCTCATTAACTACGTAAAGCCTTCCTGGTCTCTCTAAGGCAAGCTGGTTCTTAGCAAGTTATGCGGGTTTATGTTCCAGGTTGATTTCTCATCTGGAAATACAGTTTTCCCCTGCCATTGCTTACAGTATCTGATAACCAAATTTTTAGGAAGTTATAAAAATTTGACTAAAGAATACACAAAAGGCTGCTTGATTATGAAACGTATAAAGTAAGAAAATGTCTTTTTGGGTTCCTGGACCCAATTTTCAAGTCATGCCTCTCACTGGCTACAGATTGGAGGTTCCCATGACCTCCTCCTTGGGTTCAACTAATTTGCTGGAGTGGCTCATGGAACTTAGAGAAACATTTTACTAGCTAGTAAGCATCACCAGTTTATTATAAAAGGATAAGAGATGCAGAGGGCAAGGTATGTAGGAAAGGTTACCTAGCTTTCATGCCCTCTCAAAGTGCACCACTTTCCCCAAATACCCACATGTTCACCAACCCAGAAGCTCTCTGAACCCTGTCCTTTGGGTGTTTATGGAGGCTTCATTATATAGGCATGACTGATCAAATCACTGGCCATTGGTGATTGAACTCCATTTCTAGCCCCTCTCCCCGCCCCCCCAGAGGTGAAGGAGAGGGAAACTGAAATATCCAGCCCTCAGATCACAGATTGGTTCTCCTGGCAAGCAGCCCCCATCCTTATGTGGGGTCCAAATGCCACCTCATTAACATAACAAAGGATACCATTGTTGCTGTAATCACTTAGGAAATTCTTAAAGGCCAAAGACCATATATATATATATATATATATATATATATATATATATATATATATATATATATATATATATATATATATCTTATTATAAATCATAATAACACAAAATGACAAATCGGAAATGAGATATAAGATGTTTTTGTTCAAATTCTGGCAGTGCTGTGAGGAATGCTTTATAATGAAGAAAAGGAGTAAAGTGGGAAAAATAACTTGGAGACCAGAAATGAAAGCGGAGACTCACCCAAAATTTTAGCTTAGAGCGGTGACACTAAATTCAGATGACGTCACAGTTTTTATCTTACTTTTCACCAGGGGTTTATTTCCATATGATTGCGGACAGACTTGCAAAAACTGGAAGCAGATTTTCCCTGTCAGTAGCATCTCTTCTCACGGTAATATGTCCTCCTGTGCATTCATTCTACAAATTGCAGTGCTACCACCACTGCACAAATGTATTTTCACTTAGACAACAAAGTTTTTATATCCTACTTACGCTCTGAATTCATACCCAGAGAGTAGCAAACCAACCAGTTTCCACCTCGTGACCTCTTGAGACATCTGTATTTCCGAAACAAATCATCCACCTGGCATTTGTGTTTTTTCTGCTTTTCACCTAGAACACAGGTGATGTGCCCTTTAAATCTCATAGGTAGGCTGTGCCAGCCACCATCAGTGTAGGGATGATCCCCCACCCCAGGGTCAAGTGGCCTGGCCTAGGCCGAAAAGAAATTGTTGACAGGCTGAAAGAAACTGACTATGCCGTTTAGAGTTGCTCGAGTTTCATTTCAGTAAAATTGCATCATGCAAATTAGACATCATAAAGAATTACTGATAAAAGGAAAAGAAGAATAAATAAGACTTCATATGCACCTGTATCAGGACTCTCCAGAGAGACAGAAACAGAACCGATAGGAGTATACACACATGTGCGCACACACACACACATGCATGGATATATATGTACATACACATACATATAAATATATACAAACATATACATACACACATACACATCCATACATACACACATACACATCCATACACACACACACACACATACATATACATAGATTTATGTCAAGGAATTGGCTAATGTGAATGTAGGGGATGCAAGTCTAAAATTTGTAGGGCAGGCTCTCAGTCTGGAAACTCTCGGGTGGGAGCTAATGGTGCGGTCTTGAGGCAGAATTCTTTGTTCCTTAAGGAAGCCTCAGTTTTGCTCTTATGGTCATCCAACTGTCTACAGGAGGCTCACTCACATTACTGAGGATTATCTCCTTAAAGTCAACTGATCGGTGACTGAGATAGTGACCCATACCCACTGAATAATTGGGTAGTAGAAAAACCAATTTTGGGGTAGTAAATAAAACCAAGCATCACAGTACTCAATTCACATTCAATTTATACCCATAATTCAGACCCTAGAAAAACCCTCTTAATGTACTATTGGTATCAGTAAAACAAGCCCCAGTTGCTCATAGTTTTGTTTTCTTTTTTTACTTTTTCATAGCATAATTCATACACATATACATTTCCATAACATTTTCCCAAAAAAACTACAGGGGAATAAAAATAATAAAAATTAACATTGAGTGAGGACAAATAATGGCCAAACACTGTGTTGGGTGACTTACATTTATAATACCATTCCACCTCCACAGCTCTGTAGGAGGTTGGAAGGGTCTAGAGAGTATGGTGCAAACCAAATGGATTGCTGATTGTGTTGGCCTTCACTGAAACAACCTGGGCTCTTTTGTTCAAGAGAGTTATTGGAAGCCTATGGTGCCAAAATTGATGGGTAATTAAGATTTCCTTGTGATTCAAGGTGGGCAGCAATTCTGAATCACACAGTGCAAAGGAGAATTTGAGAAGGGGGAGATGAAAAAGGAAACGATGTTACTGACCACAGATGATTTGCCAGTGGGTACATTATTTCATTTAATCCTCCTAACCACCCATTTCATTTTATTTCATTCTTACAACCACCCTTTTGGAGGTGGAAGAAACAAAGTCTCAGAGAACTTAAAAAAACTTTGTTAAGCTTCCATAGGTAGTGTTGGTTCCATGATTCAAGCCCAGATCTCTCACCATCAGGTCCATCAATATACTTATGTGAACTTTCTCATTGACAACTCTGTATCCATTATATCCCTCACTTTACATGTAAAACCCCATCTAAATATGTTCATTAAGTCACTATTAAAGTGATGAATACATGATGTAGTACAGAGCTCACATCTCAAATACCTGTTGAAGATACATGTGATGATAAAGTTAGGAATCTTGATTGGGCACCCTAAGAACAGCACCATAAAGGAGTCCCCCGGTTTCTGGGTCAGGTCTTCAACTTTTCAGGGGCAGAACGTTAAATATGCCAAAAACTCCAAGAATGGTTTAGGTTCATAGAAATGGATGCACCTTAGCCAGGTTCAAAGGAGGTACAAGAGCCAGACACCAAATTGCTAAGTCATGATCTGTATCCTCATGGGGAGAAATGTCCTTTCCCAGCTGTGGGAAGGTTCAAGTCACAATCTGGTTTCTAGTGGCCCTCTGGACCCACCTCTTACTCTTGCTCCCTGGCTCACTATGCTCCAGCCACTCTGGCCTTCCTGAGATGCATCTAGCACATTCCTGCTTCCAGGCCTTTGCACTGACTCTTCCCTCAGACATTCATATGCTTCCCTCCTTCACTCTTTTATTCAAATTGTCAGTGAGACTTTCTGGCTCCATATTTAAATTAGCGATCCCAACAGGAGCGCTCCGTCATCCCTTATTTGTTTCATTCTTCACCGTAACACTTATCACCATCTGACACAGTATGTATTTTATTCATTTGTTTCAATAGTCTCCTCCAACCAGGTTATGTGCTTTCTTCAAACAGGTATTTGGGTCTGTTCTTACTCACTAGTGTGTTCTCAGGGCATAGAACAGTGCCTAGC